CAATATATAACATGCTACCAGAAGGAAAGCACAAGTGTAGCTATTGCTCAAAATGTATATATACGTTTTTAATTTTATAAATATTGAATAAATAAATAAAAAGTTATAATCATTAAATATAACAATTCCTTGTTCTGTCCTTTATCTTCTGATAAACAATGTACTCAGCAAGAGAGAAGAGGGTTTTGTTAGACCTCTGACCTTTGGAAGAATTAGATTTTCAGTAAATGTAAAGGTATTTAAGATATCCCATTGTCACCTCATTAAAAGTTTGGTCATTTGTCACAGAAAAACCTCATTCATATTCTCCTGCCAGTTAAAGCAGTCTAAGCTCCCACAAAATTATTTACTCAAATGTTATATTTTTTGCAACCTTCTTAGCTAGCTTGCAAATCCTTGGACTTAGATGCTGCTTGGATAGAGAGTCTGGTGAGGTAACTTGGGTAACATCCTGCAAGGTCAAATGTGATTACAGGTAGCCCTCAACCTACAATTACAATTAGGACCCAGAACTCCTTAATGCAGTCATTAAGTGAGTCATCACATGATCACATCCAATTTTATGGCTTTTTTCATTAAGCAAATCTCTGTCATTAAGTGACTCTAGTTTCCCCATTGACTTTGCTTGTCAGACACTGGCTGGGAAGGTTACAATGGCAATCATGTGATCCTGGGATGCTGCCAAGTACCTAAATAAGGATTAGTTTAGTTCAGTTTACTTTATTGTCATTGCACCTCGTACAACAAAATTAAATACCATCTTCAGTGTACATTATGACTGAAAATAAACACAAACATACATCCTTCACATTCTATACATTGAATTGAAAACCCCTGATATTGCATTAACATTGCACTATACAGTAGAATTCAAAAGAGCTACTGCCCTGTGATAGAAGCTGTTTTTCAGCCTATTTGTCCTTGTTTTTATTGTTCTGTACCATCAGCCAGATGGTAATAGTTCAAAAAAGGGTGCCCAGGATGAGATGGATCTTTGAGAATGTTTTGAACTTTCTTAAGGCAGCGGGAGTTATAAAGCTCTTCCAAAGAGAGGAGAGGGCAACCAATGAACTTCTGGGGCAATGACATTAACCCTCTGGAGTGCTGTCCTATCTGCCACTGTGCAATTGGCAAACCATACAGAGGTGCAGTAAGTTAAGATACTCTCTATGGTGCAGCGGTAGGTCACCAGCAGTTTTTCATTCAGTTGTTTTCTGAAAAGTCTCAGGTAATATAACCTCTGTTGGAACCTTCTGACCAGTGCTGCAATGTGAGCACCCAAGGTCAGGTCCTCTTTTATAGTAACACCCAGAAACTTAAAACTGACCCCTTGTTCCCCTTGGTCTCCATTGATAAGCAAGGGCTGGATGTCTGATCTGTTCCTGCTATAATCCACTATAAGCTCCTTGGTCTTATTGCTGTTGAAGACTAAGTTATTGTCTCCACACCACGAAAGCAACAGGTCCACCTCATCACAGTAGGCAGACTCATCTTGTCAGCTTTGAAATTCAGTTGCCACATTTTATTGGAAGGGGGTTGAAGGAGTTGAAAAGTTCAAGGTTATTCTGTATGTCGTATTAAGAAATTGGTTCTCGTGATTTATGAAGTGTAGAAGTGAGAGGAGAGGAGAGATGAGAGAAGGTATATTCTGTGTAACAAGCGAAAATACTTTCACTTTGGGAAATTGCTTTAGACATACCAGATCTGTTTTTAAATAAATCAACAGGAGAGAAAATGTCTCGGAGTGATTGATATCATGGATACTTTCTGGATGCCTTATACGTCCTCCCCCCGAGATAAATCCCAGCACTGTTATGTCACCATGTAGATTCTAACAGTCATAAGTGTGAGGATCTGTCATAAGTCACTTTTTTTCACCACTGCCATAACTTCAAAAAGTTGCTAAACAATGGTTGTAAATGAAGAACTACTTGTATTCTGAATGTGGAAACAACATTAGATTTCTAACAGAGGATCCTAGAGAAAAAGGATTGTGTTGTTTTCTTTCAACTGAAATTCAGGACTAGGCATGGCACAAAAATAGTACCAGTTGCCTTAAGATCTGGATGGAGTGTTATCTATCTTACTGACCTGGCCTTTGGTTCCTCCCATATGGGTTATGCAAGCCTTCTCTCTTTCTGCTCTCTAGCATCTGCCTGAAGCTTCTAAAAAATAATTTTTCAGTTCAGGATTGGGTATAACCAGTATGCTAATAAAACTAACCATACTTAGCAGCATTGTAAAGAGTTGGGATGATCACAACAAATGAAATTAAAGCCCAGAATAGATCTTCATAAGTGAGTATCTGGATCACTCCCATATCCTAAATTTGTTCTGGATGGGGTTGTACTTCCCTTGAAAAAGCAGTTTCGTGATATGATCTCAATAACTCAAATCTTTATTACAATATAGTCAGGGACCAGTATAATACCTTGGTATTTAGTATTATGTTTGAGACAGCTATATAGAAGCAATCCTAAGCAGCTAAGAATCTTTTTTCTCAGCTTTTTAATGTAAAGGAAATGACACTTCTCTCTTTTGAGCAAGCGGGACAGCTTATACTAGTAAATGGTTTTAGAAATGGCTACCAGCTTCCTTATTATTGTGTGAACAAGTTGAATATCTATGGAGATTCTCAATCATCCAGGTCATGATCATCCAAAGGTGCGTTTTCCCAAAGGCAACTAGACTTCCTTATTTCCTTTCAAAACATTTTGCTTCTCGCCCATAAACCTTCCTTAGTTCTAATGGAATGGAAGGATTTATATTCTTTGCAGTCATCTGGTTAGCTCTCTGAAAGTAGCTGAGGCCACTTGGGGGTTTATCTATTTCCTCAGAATCACCTGAATAAACAGCTGTGGAACCTTCTTGAGACTGCTACAAAGGACTGTGTTGTAAACAGGTCTTGTAGCCTTTCCCCTCTGTTGAGAGGGCTGTTCAATTTTAACATAAATAGCCCCTTTGATCCCTTTCTTAAACCAATGGACACCACCTATCTCCTGTTTACAACACAATCTTTTCAGCAGACCCAAAAAGGTTCAATACCCATTTGCACTCTGATTCAGGTGATTCTGAGGATACAGATAAAGACTCAAGCAGCTTCAACTACTCTCAGAGTACTAACAAACAGATGATTGTAAAGAATATAAATCCTTCCATTACCCTCTAATCAGTTAGAACTGAAGAAGTTCCTTGGATGAAAAGTGAAATGTTTTCAATGAAAAAACAAAGTCCAGTTGCCTTTTGGAAAAAGCATCTTCAGGACATGTCTGGACAAGCAATATTTAACAAGGATCAGCCACCCTATGGTGGGCGAACCAGTTCAGGTCTTTTGGGAATGATATGTTCTTGCAACAGCAACATGATTTAGATTGAGCTGCTGTTGAAGATATCTCAAAAGCTTCACTTGGCCAAAATGCAGCTACATGTGTACTAAGCTACTTGTGTCCTTTTTATTTGTATTAACATTCACTGTTTAAAAACTATTCAGCCTTGTGAAAAGTTAGAATATACTGTGATAAATGAATAATTTGCTCTCTCTTCCTTCCATTTTACAACTAATCAACACAGTAGATTAATCTGACAGAAAATGGTCCAGTATCATCCTGGATTTTCATGGCATCAGAGATGTTTGTAAATCTTGTATCTCTTTGGTACTAATTAAAAATTCTAATAAAGCTGATTATTAATCAATGGGCAGACTGCTGGCTTTGGGATCAAGGCAGGATATATCCTATCTGCTGGGCCTAGATATCAGAAGTAATTATATCATGGCTGTATGTTTTATCAGCCCAAGATAGCAAGAGTAAATATTTTGGAATGGTAAGAGGATGCAGAAGAATCCTAGACTTATTCTAACAAATATATACAAAATATGATAGTTACTTGAAAGAACATGTTGCTCCAAACAAAACAAGATGACTTAGAAAGAACAAATCTATTCAAAAGAATGGCCTCCTAATTCTGACAAAACACAAAACATTTTTCTTCAGCTTTTTGCCCTAGCAGAAGGAACAGGAGAAAATAACTATCTGTATAGAATCTTGCTAAATTCATATCAGTCTTGAAGTTATGTCATATGAATATACACATACACACGGTTTATTTTGGCTATTTTTTTTTGTAGGATTAAACAAATTCCTGTCAACCTTTCTTGAAGTTTATTAATGAAAATATTCTTTTCCATGAATTGTCCAAAATGCTTAACTACTTCAATACTATTTTAATTATATTCCTAGTTATTGCAGATGAACCATAACTGAAATAATTACATTTTAAAGCTTTCTGGATTTGAACCCATATAGAGTCTAGATAAAATCATTGTTATCAAATGCCTAAGAAGTTTGAGCTTCTGGATTGAATTCACACAATCTGCCAAAGCATAAAGACTAGGCAATCCATTGATGGCTAGGGTCATAGGTAACATTTGGGGGTGGAAGGGAGAAATACCCTGGGTGAAGGCAATACTTGGAAAGTAGATTCATCTGTGTTGGACAGACTTTTCTGGATGTAAATTGAAGTTTGGGTAGTTTCTTTGGAAGATTTCCATCTCTCCTCCATTGCTCAAAATTTGCGTGCCTTAAATCGCCACATATCCTTTTGAGCTTTCCTAATATAACAGTAAAATGGATTTTTTTAAAAAGATATAAAAGTTATGTTTAAAAATACAGCGGCAACCTAAAGTGGGAACTTCTACCAGCTGTAGCAAACGCGGCTTAGGATTCTTTCTCCCTTTCCTTGAGACGAGCACTCTGCACGTCCTCAGAGGCGCTCTTACGCCGGAGCTTGGGCGACGACCAGCCCCCCTTCAAACCTTCCCTCTCCCACCCTCCAATTCCCACCCCCTTCTCCACCCCTTCTCTGAGGCCGCGTGGGTTACCTGCGGGGGCGGGGCGGCCTCGCAGAGCAGGCAAGAGCGGATCCCCTTGCACCCGCAACCCCTGGGCACTCCGAGGACCGCTCCATCTCCTGCTACTCCTCCTCGCGTTTTAGCAGCCTCCATCCTATCCGACCCCGGTAGCTTTTGCCGCTGTCGGCCCCCCTCCGCGCTTCCGGTTCGGCGAGCCCCGGCGGTGGCAGCAGAAGCAGCACCAGAAGGTTCTTGCGCCTGCCTGAGGTAAGGCTCTGGCCGAGAACGGTGAGAGGTGGGCTGGCGCGGAGCCCAGGGGCGTGGGGACAAGGGCCGGCAGCCGATGGGGCGTTAAGCGAACGCGCGCCCAGCGGGAAATATTAAGGCGAGCCGCCTCCTTCTTCGGACTTTTCTCCTCAAGGCCCTACCGGCCGCCTTGACTGGAGGAGCGATGTTGTGGCGGGAAACTCGTCTTCCCAGCAGCGCTTTGCGCGGTTTATCTGTAAGAAAGGCATCCTCGCCTCCTGCCGGGGCATGATGGGAATTGTGGTCTCGAGGCTGGTCGAGCATTTAAAGATGCTGCTGCTCCTGCCTTCTTACCCTCCCCTCTCCAATTTTCCTCATCGCCGCCACACGGCGCCTCTTTCTCTCCGGGCTCAGTTTTTATAAAATCTGTCCCTCCGTAGTGAGATGATGTGTAATTTTGTTTACATGTTGGTAGATATCGGTCTATCTGAGGAGAGAGGGTTTTTTTTTCTTTTCATTGTTCAGTAGGGGGTTAGGAAGACGAGGCGGCAACCAGACCCTGAAAGCCTGCTCGTTTTCCTTTTGAAACAATAACCCCCTTTTGAAAAAGACACATGCAGTTTTTCCCTCTTTCATTTCACTTCAGACTGAGGTTTGCCTCAGAGATAAGATTTTTTTCGATTTTTCCTTTTCGGCATCTCCCTGCTGTTCCCCACCTCAGGCATATAATTATAGTTGAAAACTGCTCTTAAAAAATAATTCTGTTCCTCCAAGATTCTTAGGCATGTTTTATTTCTTCCCATACCTTTGAAACTGCCTATGCTCTGATTTAGTTCATTTCAGTAATAACACACACAAAACACTTTTATTGGGAACAGGGGAGTCAAAGATGCCCATCATTTGACACAAGTCAGCTACTATAAATGACTTGGAAATCAATATACCCAATTAATGATAATAATGGTTCCCAAAGCTGGAAAAGCTCTCTCCTTTTTACCCAATTTCTATTCATTACCACCTTTTGATGTTTTTTCTGGTATATCCATCCTTATTTGTAAGAATGCTAGAGCTGAGATTAAAGAAAAAATTAAGGTCCATAATATATAATATATGCATGTATAAAATATGTGTTTCAGCCATGAATTAAGGCAATGAATATAAGGCAATGTAAAGCAAAATTAAAATCAAAGTGGTAAGAGGGACTATTAAGACTATTAAGATAAAAATCTTGTTCAATTTAGGAATTTGAATTAAAATATCAAACTATAGCCCTTCAGCCTCTTTCTGTAAACATTGAGTCAGTGGAAACCCACTATATATTTTTTGGATAAATATTTTTACTGTCAAACTCTAACATTAAATTTTTCCAAACTGGACATTTAAAGATTCTTACTCCATATTTTTGCACTATGGAGTGATTTAAGTTCTGACCAACTGTTGATCAACCTTGGTTCTATTTCTTGATAATTGCTATCAGATCCCCTTTCAATTGTTTTCTGTTGGGAATAAACATACAGTACAGATTTCCCTCAGATATAAAACTAAATTTTTAGTCTTTTGATCGTTCTTGTTGCATTTCAATTTGTTTCTGTTAATTTTTAAAAAAATATAGTATCTTCAGCTGGACACTGTATATGAAATAGAGTCTGAAGAAGGGCGAATATAGTTACTTTGGCAACAGCTTCTATTGATGCATTCTGAATTGCATTTCCCTTTGGAGCTGTATCATGTTTCATATATAGTTTACAATTAACATTCCCAAATCATTTTCATATGTTCTAGTATGAAGTCAGAGATCATATATATTTCTATTTTTATTTATTTTTTGTAAGTGAAGAACTTTGCATTCATCTTTATTACTTTTCATTCTACTTTGAACCCACTTTTATAGCTTATTATTCATTTTGAATTATGCTTCTTCTGTAATATTAGCTATCTCACTCAATTTTGTATTAGTTGTTATAGCTTCTTCTGATTCCTTAGATGAAGGTAAGACCTGCTGTGGAAAAGAGGTGTAATATTTTTTCAAAAACTTATTTCCTCAACCATAACTCAAAACAACTGCCAGGTAAAGAAAAACATTTGTCTCTCTGATAGAGGTAATGAAATCGTAGGAAATGTTAGTAGAAAACTAAAGAATGCATCTTAGAAGCTTTAGGAAGATCTTTACATATGTTAGCAAAAGTATGGCTTCTGGGCTTGGAAAGAATTAGGACAGAGTTGGGGTGATATCTGTTTATAGAGATTAGAAATTAATAATCCTGAGCTCTGTTTGAGACAAGCATTTTTTGCTTGGGTTATATTTCACTGCACCCTGATTTCAGTTTGAACTTCAGTCACAGGTTCAGATGTTGATCTGGGTCACAGATTGCTTGTATATCACTATTGTGATTTTTTCTTTAACAAAATATGGAAAACATTGGTGTGTAAATAAAATATTTTATCCTTCCTCCATGTTGTACTTTTACTTACTTTAATTTTAAAACTGGATATTAATTGTAAAAGTAACAGGTTGAAAAGCAAAATTTAACATTGTTTCCTTTTGTTACAAATGATTTTCCAAAATTGTTGGCTTTACAGCATTGCCACCAAATATGAAAAAATGATCTAATATGATATTGCATTTCCAGCCATTTTTGCAAAATGCATTATCTATTTTGGCACTCAACACTGTCTAATATACCACCAACAGAACATCTTATGCCATTTTTCTCTAGGTGTAATATTGATGGTATATTACCTATTTTTCCTTTGTTATCCCTGTAGTTACATATTTTTGATCTTTTTGGATTCTGAATTCATTAAACTACACAATCTTTGACTTGTTCAATGTCTGAATCGTATCATCAGCAATTTATAGATCCAATATATTATCTAAATTTTGTGTAGTAAGCTTTTTAATTCAGGAAAAATCTCTTAAGTGTCCAACCTAGAGCTGCCTATATTCAATTTCAGATTAAAAAAAGTAAAAAAAATCTTATACTCATTAACATTGATGTTCTAAATTGTAAATAACAATTGATATACCTTTTTATCAACAATAATCTAAGTTACCTAAACATTAGAGTGTTAATTTTCAATCAATACAAATGTCACTGTACTGAAATAATATATATTAAGATTTACAAGAACATAAGAAAAATAAATGATGGGAAAAATTAGATGAGGGCTAACTGTTGCTTTCAGATACCTGCATATACATAATTGTATATGTATGTGTATATTTCTCGATTTACTACCCTTTATTCAGCAACCATTTTACATTGCAATGGTGCTGATCAAAGAGACTTATTACCTGCGCTCAAAGTTACAGCTATTGCAGCACCCCCAGAGGTCATGGGTGCTTGGCAGTTTACCTGTATTTATGACTGCAAGGCACTGCAGACACCCCTCCCCCCCAATGCACACACCTCTTCCTCATCTCAGCCACACACTTACCCACTTGTGCATGAGAAGCTGCTATGGTCAGAAGACTCCATCCTGTTCCCATCTGCCAGGCCCAAGAGGCCTTGGCTTACTCCATCTTACCAGATCCAGGAGGCTAGAACAAATGGTCTTGGCCCATTTCCTGCCTCACTAGCACAAAACACCCCATTTCAGCATTTTTCTCTTCTATTGCCAGGCATGCTCAGCCTATGTGGGGTGCAGTTTTCTTACCAAAGCTACCTTGCACCATTCTTCAAGCATGACTTGGAGAAGACTTCCAAAGCATAATAAAAATGGAATCCACTTGGAGTACAGAAAAAGAAAAGAAAGAAAAAATAATAGTAAAGAAAAAGTGTTCTCCTTTAATTGTAATCTTTAGTTCCTTATGGTTTCCTCTAATGTCCAACCTTCAAAGTTCCATCCTATAATGTTTTTTAAAGTGATTCAAAACAAAAATATTTTCCCATAAGAAGAATTCTTATTATTTCAAATCCACCTGTTTTTACTTTCCAAAATCAGTATTCTAATCATCTGTTTACAGATTATTAAAATAATAACAATTTAGGTCCTCAAATTTGTATTTAAAGCTTCTTTCACTAATAATTGAAGAAAATTAACACAGTGGTGTAAAATGTCTAAATGCAAAGGTTCCTGATAACTGAAAAGCAGTCAAGCCATTTCTGAAGGTGATTATAAAAGAAAGTATGGAAACCACTATCCTTTAGACAGATGTCAACTGCAGCATCAGCAAAAATAGATTTCTCTTGTATCCAAGAACTCTAAACCTACTGGAGACCACTAGCTTGCAGTCTCCTTGAAAAGAGAATTATATTTTCCAGATTTGAAAAATAAAATAGAAGGCATTTCAAAATGGAAAAAGTTGAAACTGACCTGTTAGGAAGAATCACAGCCCTAAAACTGAGCATTTTGCAAGAGCCAACTTTTTGATCCAAATAATTCCTAAAAAGAATTGAGGAAAGGAAGACTTCCAGATAGGTTGTACAAATCTTTGTCTGAGGTATGCGGAAAAATGCAATGTATAATAGAAAGTTCAATAATAAGTATTGTTTTGAAAGTATGGAATAAGCAATAAAAAAGGACATACATGCTCATCACTTAATGATGACTTCTGGAACTTCTATAGCTAAGTGGCATGATGATGTGAAATTGTGCTTTATGCCTGTGTCACTTAGCAATGGAAATTCCAGTCCCAATTACCTTCATTAAGACTACCTGTAAATTAAAACTCTTCTAAGAGAACATTGTTAAATCTCATTAATTAGTTATATTAATAGATTGATCAGAATTTCTTAGAAAGTCTTATATGATATGATAGAAAATCCATCATGTTCTACAGATTTCTTCAATTTGGGTGTTTATATTGTTTTTTATTTCCTTTTCAGAATTGTCACTGCCTTGTAAAGTGCTTCATTTTGTTATTCTGTGAATTTATAAACTGTCTTGTATATTCATACTGTTCTAATGTTAATATTTAGTACGTAATCTAGAATAATGTTTAAAAAAATGTTTTATTTTCTGTTGTTGAAACATATTTGTTGCCATCCCAATTGGTCATAAGAATTTTGTCTTGTTCTTTTCATAATACCCAGCAGTTTATCTAATTTATTAGCTTTTTCAAAATATTTTTGTTTGGCAAAGCTCAGCTTCTTATAAATGTCATTTACTTCTATAAATAGGTATACAGATAGCTTTAATCTTTTGTTCTAAAACAAAACTTAGTTCTAGCTTCAGCTCAATGATCAAGTTGTTGGTTTGTTTTGTATAGTTTTGTATTTGATGCTATTGAAATAGTTTCCTCAAAAATGCTTTATTTGAATTCCATACTGTAAATAACCATCAGAAGTTGAATTGGTTTAAACATTCTTTAATTTGTATTGATCCTTCAGTTTAATATTCTCTTTTAGCAATAATAATAAACACTCCGTCACTCGAAGATTCCTCTGTGTAAGATTACAGTTATTGGATTATGATCAGCATAGGTAAGAGATCAAATTTCCATATTTATATGTTTGGTTAGGAATGAACTAGAACATGACACTCTTTGAACAACTTCTAGGAATAGAAGAATAATACATATATTTCTTTACTGAAGGGTACTTGTGGCTCTCTACATCTGAGAGGGACAATAATGATATGTAATCTATAACAGTTTTGGACATTTACCAGATATCATTTTTTTGTAATCCAGAATTATTTAAGCTCAAAGAGAACATTCCAAAAACTAGAACATCTTTTTCTGCAATTTCAAGAAGTTATTTTTTTTTCATAAAATTTTGTTATCGTTTGTATCATAAATTAAAGCAATTGATATTTTCCTATGTTCAATCATTAATTGCTTCTAGCTCAACATGTAGCACCTGGAATAAATGACAGAGACCCAAAGGACCAATTCTATGAGGTTCTTATTGATAAATTATAAATTAGCAAAAGCCCTTAGACTTAAATACCACGTCACAGTGCTTTACAGCCCTCTAAGCAGTTTACAGAGTTAGCATATTTCCCCCAACAATGTGGGTACTCATTTTATCAACCTCCAAAGGGTGGAATATTAATTCAGCCTTCAGCCAGTAACAATCAAACTGCAGGTAGCTGGAAGTCAGCAGAAGTAGCCTGCAGTACTGCATTCTAACCACTGCACCACCACAGCTCAGTGTATCCATTCAGATTGTAAACTGTCATACAATTCTTCTATGGTATCTTTGGGTATTTTGGGTATTATGGGTGACCTGAGGAAAAGTCTTGTGGAAAACAAAAAGATCACAACTTGTTTCATGGAGATGGAAGCCATTTTGTAAATCAGTGCTCCATCAAATAATATCATGTTATTTCAAAATTTATAACAACCCAGATTTAGTTGTTTGGGTCATCCTTCAGGTTCATGGACATCTGTAAGAGAGTTCTCTTCACCATCTAATTTTAAAAGCTGAAAACTTAAAATGGTGAATTGCTATTGTACAATGGCAACAAATGAGTTAATGTGTTATCATCATCTAATGAATATGTAGAGTTTGTTTAGTGTAGTTAAGGCACCAGGGGAGAAACCAGGAAACCATGAGTTCTAGGCCCACTTGAAGTACAAAATCGACTGGGTGAACCTGGTTCAGTCAGGAAGGAGGCAATGGCAATCCATTTTTGAAATCTTGCCAAGGAAACTGCAGAGACTTATCCAGGCAGTAGCCAGGAGTAGCTCAGGGTCCAACTGTGGAGTCATTAGTGATATAGAGATACAAAAATGTGTTGTATTGGTATAAAAAAGAATTAACAAACTTAATGAAGGGGAATACTTAGAACAATTAAAACGGAGAATTCTAGTTTTGCTATTGTAAATTCTTCCCAAAAGGCTTCATAAAATAGAAGATAATAACCCGTAGGCTTATGCATAGTTTTTATCTGGTGTTTTGACTTTGTCCAATAACGGCTTCAGTGGTAATTTCAACTTATATTCAACCATTAACTGCATATAACAAAATTTATGAATTTAAAATTATTGGGGAGAAGAGCACTGTAAGATTACAAGAACAAACAAATACAGTACTTCAGGGAGTGGGGGATTTAATATTAAAGGATTCTGAGACAAGGAAAATAGCAGTAATATTAATTGAGAAATATTATTTTCTGCATCTTTCCAAAATATGAAGGCTTACATCCCAAACCTTTGAATAAATATGTAATTTGTGTGTGGTGTTGCTAAATAGTGTGACACTACAGGTTGTTCTGAGTAAGGGCAGATGGCACGACAGATGATTAATAGTATATTCTCTCACTCAACTTCTGCAGTGCCAAGTGCATTCCAGTGACTTGAAAGAAATTTAATGTCTGACCAGCTGCAGTGGATTTAACAGAATTTATTATTTTTACAGCATTTGTTAGAACTATGAACTTCTAATAGTCATCAAAACCATATAACAGGACTTTTCTTTTTCCAGATTGGAGATACTATTAATCATATAAGCATGCACCAAAGAGGCAGACAAAAAAACAGCAGCTGTATCAGTATAAACAGGGTGCAGCTGCAACAGAATCTACAGCAGAATTCAAATTGATAGTAGATCCTTTCTAAAACTCATATTTGAGTTAGTGTAGCTTGAGCACTGAGAAGAATATCAAAAAGATGTCAGCTACAGAATCATTTGAGTCTTGGGCTAACCAATTCCATTTATATAAGACAGTGTTTGGAATTAAACTTCCCAAGGTTGGGCCTGCTAATAAAACTTGTTTTAGTACAACAACTGAAGATTCATCTGCTTCAGTCCACAGAAAGGTTCTTTCATGAACAGTTAAAATCATCCAGCAGTTTGCCAGGTTGACATGTGAAAATCCATTATGTACAGTAACCACACATATCAAAAAAGAGCAAATTTGTGAGGTTGTGATTGGATGAAGAATCTGCAATAGCACCTGGTGCAAGATGAAGAAATATAACATTGGCCAGAGAAAATTTCATGGCCAAGATATTTTATTTTCTCTAAACAAAATTGCAATGTAGATTTAGATTTAGAAGATTTTGCTAAATGCAGCAAGAAGATACACAAAGTTCTATTTGCACACCTTGTGTAGGTGAAGCAAGGAGAGATATACTGACTAAAGAACTGAACCACTAGGAAAAGTAAAATTCTGAAAATCTAAGAACTTGAGAGAAAATGAGATTCTTGTGGCAAATATATTAAAAGTCTTTGTAAATAATCCTCGTTTAGCAATGCCTTGTTTTAGCAACCTTTCATAGTTATGATGGTGATGAAAAAGTAACTTTACAACCAATCCTCACATTTATAACCTTTGCAGGTTTGTAAAGCAAAAGACAGCTGAAGCAAGATCATAATCATTCTTGCATTTTCATTTAGTCACCACTTCGCTTAATGATTGAGTTGCCATCCCAATTGTGGTTTCTAAACAAGATTATGAATGGGGAGGTGCTACCCACTAATAGTTAATGATGTAGCATCTCCAAATCCAGAGGATCCCAGATATAGTCACTCGGTCTTGTCAAGATTCAGCCTGTTTCTCCCCATCAAGATCCACACAGGCCCTAAACCTTGGATTGCAGCAGGAAGTCTGCCTGATGTTGAGATGTGCAGCTGGATATCATCAGCGTATTGGTGGTTCCTGATTCCAAACTGACAAATAACCTCAGTCAGAAGTTTCATGGTAAACAGAAGGGGAGAGGAGAGAGCATGAAAACCTGGGGCACCCCAAAGGGATGGCCAACGGGCATGATCTCTCTCCATCTTGCAACAACTTATTTCAAGCTTCATCTTTCCATATACAGGTGAAACTTGAAAAATTAGAATATCGTGCAACTTAAATGTAATTAGAATATCGTGCAACTTATCAGTAATGCAACTTAAAAGGTGAACCTAATCTATGAGATAGACTCATTACATACAAAGCAAGATAGTACAAACCGTGATGTGTCATAATTGAGATGATTATGGCTTATAGCTCATGAAAACCCCAAATCCACAATCTCAGAAAATTAGAATATTGTGAAATGGTTCAATATTCTAGGCTCAAAGTGTCCCACTCTAATCAGCTAATTAAGCCATAACACCTGCAAAGGGTTCCTGAGCCTTTAAATGGTCTCTCAGTCAGGTTCAGTAGGAATCACAATCATGGGAAAGACTGCTGACCTGACAGTTGTGCAGAAAACCATCATTGATACCCTCCATAAGGAGGGAAAGCTTCAAAAGGTAATTGCAAATGAAGTTGGATGTTCCCAAAGTGCTGTATCAAAACACATTAATAGAAAGTTATGTGGAAGGGAAAAGTGTGGGAGAAAGGTGCACAAACAGCAGGGATGACCGCAGCCTGGAGAGGATTATCAGGAAAAGGCCATTCAAAAGTGTTGGGTACTTTCGGGCTTCTGGTTTGAGCTTCTTCGATGACAGACCGAAATCTGCGATCGTACGCAGTGTCGATATGTGCTCGCCGTTGGAGTGCCCTGAGCCAGCTCGTTTCGGGGCTAAGCCACCCCATAGAGGTGGGGAGACTGCCAGTGGGGTCAAGGAGAGTCGCATCTCTCCTCCCCAGCTGGCCATTACTCCCTTTCCCGAAGGCAGTTGCAGCGGTGGTCAGAAATGGCCACCTCAAAGAAGAACTCGACCGGAAAAGAATGTCCAGGAGGAAGATAAGAGAAAGTTTTGGCTGACCGGGTCGAACTGAAAAAGCAACAATATAAGGTACCCTGGAATTTGAATTATAAAGAACAACATTGTTCCCAAAGAAGACTTTGAAGCGGCAAATGAGAGAGGGAAGGGAAAGTATTTGGTTTGCTTTTCTTTTCTTCCCTATGTTGACAACTAAGAGATTTAAGCAAAAACCCGGCAAAAATCCACTTTGACATTAACAGGTATTTAAGCTGAAAATAAAATGTCAAAGGGATAATAAAGATTTCTGGATTCTCAAAAACTTCCTTCTTTAAAAGAAGGAATAAAACAAAAGGGTGGGATCTGGAAAAATGGAAGAGACCACCTGGAAGTGAAAGGAATTAACAGTGAAACTTTAACAAGATTCCTAAAAGATACATTTTAACTGAAACTTTGTAACAAGAGAACCCCAGGAAGAGAAAGTGGAAAAAAGAAGCAAGAAAAAACAGCTTTGGATTATTTGGATTACTTGGGACAAAGAAGAAGCCGTCTTCAATGACCAAGTATTTCTATGTGGGGAAAAGAAAGGGAAAGAGAGTGAAAAATTTAAGATTTGAAAAAACAACCCCCAAAAGAATAGTTTGAAAAGTAATTACAACATTAGGAAGAAACAGAAGAGAGGATTACAGAAGAGAGAATCAGAATTAGAGAGAGAAGGGGTCAAAAAGGGAAGGGAGAAGAAGAGGGGGAAGAAGGAAAGGAAAAGAAATTATAAAGGACAGAAACAGGACATAGAGAAACAGGGAAAACGTACAAGGATTAAGGGTATAAGCCTATTTAGAAGACACAGAGATAATGGGTAAAAACTTAATTGAAAGGGGGATTCTGCAAGGGTACGTAAGATAGTATTGTTATATTAGAAATAGAAATGAACTTTGAAAATATGAAACAAGTGTGATTAAAATGATAGATAAAATACTCATTGTAATGTAATGGAATGTTTAATAAATAAATGAAATAAAGAGAATGAGAGAATGAAATTAGGAAAGGAGGGGAACATTTTAATTATTATAAATGTGTTATAAAAATTTAAGTGAAGAGGAATATGAAAGAAACATGAAAAAATTATGGAAATATAAGTGTTCCTAGAAGTATGATACCCTATTGAAAAGAAATGTTAAAGATGTCAAAGATTATAAGTAACATTAATGATAGAGCTGAATTGGAATCGAATAAGTATTTTATTTATTATTGTTATATATATTTTTTCTCTTTAAGAACTTAGTGCGTATTTTAAGAATGTACCAAGCAGAATTCGACTGGAAGTTGTGTGTTATATTGAATGTTATAATTGTAAAGGCATAAATTGAAGTTTAAATAAGAGTTGAATGGATAAAAATTAAAAGATACAAAGGTGTCATACTCCAATTAGTAACTACAGGGAAAAATTTTGTTTAATGAGAAAAGAAAATATGACATTGAAACAGGACAGACAAAAGTATAAATATAATGACTAGAAAGATATTGAAACTTAGAAAAAGATATATATAATTGAATTTAGAAAGGAATGAGATAATTAAAAGTAAGATTGAGAAAACTAAGGGAAGGGAAAAATTATTGAGAAAATGTTAAAATAGTAATAAGATATGGAATAGAACACAAAGATGAATATGAAACTGAATTTGTGTCTGTATGGAGAAGTGATAACCTGGGACCATGCTATTCCCCCAAAAAGAAATTTTACTTGTATTATGTTTTGTGAAAACCCAAATAAAATTTTTATTAAAAAAGTGTTGGGGACTTTCACAAGGAGTGGACTGAGGCTGGAGTCAGTGCATCAAGACCCACCACACACAGACAGATCCTGGACATGGGCTTCAAATGTCGTATTCCTCTTGTCAAGCCACTCCTGAACAACAAACAACGTCAGAAGTGTCTTACCTGGGCTAAAGAAAAACAGAACTGGTCTGTTGATCAGTGATCCAAAGTCCTCTTTTCTGATGGGAGCAACTTTTGCATCTCATTTGGAAAGCAAGGACCCAGAGTCTGGAGGAAGAATGGAGAGATACATACTGCAAGATGCTTGAAGTCCAGTGTGAAGTTTCCACAGTCTGTGTTGATTTGGGGAGCCATGTCATCTGCTGGTGTTGGTCCACTGTGCTTCCTTAAGTCCAGGGTCAACGCAGCCGTCTACCAGGAGATTTTGGAGCACTTCATGCTTCCTTCCGCAGAGAAGCTTTATGGGGATGCTGACTTCATTTTCCAGCAGGACTTGGCACCTGTCCCCACTGCCAAAAGCACCAAAACCTGGTTCAATGACTGTGGGATTACTGTGCTTGATTGGCCAGCAAACTCGCCTGACCTGAACCCCATAGAGAATCTATGGGGCATTGCCAAGCGAAAGATGAGAGACATGAGACCGAAAAATGCAGAAGAGCTGAAGTCCGCTATTGAAGCACCCTGGTCTTCCATAATACCTCAGCAGTGCCACAGGCTGATAGCTTCCATGCCACGCCACATTGAGGCAGTAATTGCTGCAAAAGGGGCCCAAACCAAGTACTGAATACATATGCATGCTTATACTTTTCAGAGGTCTGATATTGTTCTATGTACAATCCTTGTTTTATTGATTGCATGTAATATTCTAATTTTCTGAGATTGTGGATTTAGGGTTTTCATGAGCTGTAAGCCATAATCATCACAATTATGACAAACCATGGCTTGAACTATCTTGCTTTGCATGTAATGAGTCTCACCTTTTAGTTTCACCTTTTAAGTTGCATTACTGAAATAAACGAACTTTTGCACGATACTCTAATTTTTTGAGTTTCACCTGTATACAATCATTTCTTCAAGTAACTGGTCAGATACTAATTTCCTCTTTAGCTTATTATGATAAAATAGCATCCTGCAAAATCTAAAAAAAAGGATGAGGCAGTGTGAAAATAGGCTGCAGGAGGCTTCAAAATACTGATGTGCAATCAGTCACATTTATAAAAAATGAATTAGAAGCATTCATGAAAATAAATGACACTGGAGGCAGTATTTACATTTCCTCTTAGATAAATAAATCCATAAAAATAGTAATGCTTTTTAAAGACCATCACATTAAGTTTGGTGTATGCCAAGGGATATTTCGATTGATGCTGAGGATCCCTGCTGGGAGACAAGTCTGGCTTATATGGAGTACATTTTCAACATGGAAATAAGTTATGTGTGTATTAAAGCACTGGTGTTTTTATGTATCAGGCATTTTAGTTTTTGACTTGAATGTGGGAGTTCTGTTCTTTCTGGCTGTGCAACTTGTCTAAAATAGAGAAGATACAGCTGATCTAAACTAAATAAGTAAAAACATTAAAAGTATTGCTCAGTTTCATAAAATGCCAATTGAATATCCAAGTAACATCAAACGATAATATTAAGTGACGAAATCCACCTGTTTGCCAGATTTGTCTCCCAGCATCCCTTTTTAGGTCTTAAACACCCCCACCCCCCGCAGCTTGCCCTTTAAATCTCTGCAAAATGTGAGGGATCCACTTCCCCTTTATCCACCCCAGCAACAATATCTATTAAAAGGAACAGAAAATTTGATAATGCCTATTCCATTTTTAAAAAATTCTTTCCTGATCATTAAGCAAATTGGCTGGCTGAACTTTTGCTTTGCCAAGGAGCACACTGCAGCACTAAGTGTGGTTATGTTTTCAAATTAATGGGGCAAGGAAGAAATAATTATCTTCTTCCATACTCCCATGACAATTGGGATAATGCTGAAGTACTATGCACTTCGTTTCAGTCTATTTTCCCAAGATTGGATAAGATGTTCCTGCTCCTGAAGTGAAGGTTTGTTTATCTTTCTCTGGGATATTCTCCTTGGAATATATATTTTTTCCTTCTGGCTACTGCTTTGCTTTGAAGACCTAATGTAAGCAGATGTTTATAGCCTAAGAATGTGAGACTGAATGAATTCTGAATGACTGAAAGAACTCTTGAACAAGGCTTAATATTAATCATAAGTAATATTGAAAGAAATCTTAATAAATGAGTGATTAACCTTCTCTATTTCGTATGGGAGGGGGGACAGTAAACACTATATGATGACCAGAGTATTAAACAGAGCCAGAGGTGCCTGGACATAGTTTAGCTTCTGAGTTAGCTGCATTGCTGGTTCAGAACATTTGATAAATTTATCATGATTTTGCTATGCTTGGCATAATATACCCAAGATGGCTGATGGTAGCCTAGAAGCTATAATAGCAGAGTTAATTCACTGGAGAATGATTTGCTATGCAGAATGGTTTACTATGCCATCAGCAAGTACTAGAATCCAACAAGCTAACATTAGAAAGCAGATAAAAACTAGAATACCGAAATGCCTTAATTTAGAGCTTATCTGGCTGAATATAAATCCACATTTTTAAGGGGTGGGGGAATGTGAATGAAATGTTCAACCCTTATAAATGCTCAGAAGCAATCCCAAGGGGAGAGGAGGGAGAAACCTCCATTTGCAGGAAACAAACCCCTAAAGCAGTTCAGAAAATTCTCAGTTTAGCACAGTACCATAAAAATGAAGAAACTGCAATAATCAGAGTAAAGTAACCTGTCACAATACCTCTGAGGTAGAAGGGTGGTCACAATTTCAGGAAAACATAGCTACTGTAGTAGGAGACCAATTACTGTAGTAGACACCTTGTTTCACATGGGATTATTTTTCTAAAATAAAACGAAAGTCAGAATCCCAAAATTAAATAAATTTTTTGACAGATGTTGGTATGTTAAACTGGCATGTATAAATAAATACAGAAGTGTCTTCAAATTTCAAAAGAGACACAAGCCACATTTCTTAGGTTGCCTCCAACCTGCATTTCAGTCCAATATTACTAAAGAAGATTAGAATGCCTATACTGCAACAGTACCCCTACCTGAGCAATTATTTCATTGATCTGCAACATTGAGATGATATTTAAACGATTATCTTGTTTTTCTTTTTACCAGCAACATTTCAAGAAGATTAAATATATTCTTGGAGCTGCTGAATATTGGAAGGTACTAAGTATGACTAAAATAACTACAGAACTTCTGTTGGAAAGAGCAGTGCCCAAATCTACAAGGCTACGAAAGATCAAAACGTTGAAGTAAGCGTATGTGTGTGTACATAGAACTCCACAAATCTGACTTTTAAGAAAAAGAAAATCCATACAGTATTACTCCTAGTCCCTCATTTTTGTCAATCTTTACAGCAAATTCAGTAGTGATTTTACCCTTTCTCTTTTCTCCCCAAAATTACAGCTACAAAATACATAAATTAACCTAAAGCAAAAGTACAAAATTGAGCATAATATTATGATTTAATTTTGTTGTTGGATATTAATCTTTTGTATGCCACCCAGAATCATTATTGTGAGATGGGCTGCCAGATAAATTATTTAAATAAATAAATAGCAGTATCAACAGCAATCATGACAACTTTCAATTTGAAGTTGATACTATACTCTGTAATAGAGTTTTAATCAACAACAATTCAGTTCTGCTAAATGTAACCATCCATTCTGATATCTTTTCCCAGATTAATTAGTGGGATGATTTTTTTAAAATGAGTATTTTAAGAACTATTTTGTTCCTGCTAGTATTCCTGAAATTATTCTGAAATGCAACTGAAAAATCTTCAAATTATGAAATATAGATAATCTTTTATGTGAACAGTGAATAATTAAGGTAACAGTGGTTTTTAAACATTTTAATTAAATTAAATTTAGGATAGTACTCTGTTTCACTGTAAATTAATTGATGTAACCTAATAGTCTGTGCAAGTTAGTACAAGTAATCCTTGCTTAACGACCACTCATTCAATGAACTTTTAAGGTTATGATGATGCTTGCACATACCATCCCCATGGTCACAGAATCATAATTTGGGCACATGATGACTGGCCTGCATTTTCAAATGTTGTAGTATCCTGTGGTTACATGATCACTATTTATGACTTTTCCCACCAGCTTCTGGTAAGCAAAGTCAATGGGGAAGTTTAGGAAGTTGTGAAATGCAGTGATATAAAATCCTTGCTTAACAACCTGTGGTCCTAGCTTAATGACTGCTGCAAAAATGCTATTGTAAGTCATCATAGTCATGACTCCAGCACTTTGCTCTGACACTTTTGGTTCCAGTTAAGGTCATTAAATGAAGATTACCTGTTTATGTTTTTCATCGTAGAGAGTCTGATGTTTCCATTTTTGGGGATTTTTAACATAAAACAGAATGTTCCAAAATGTGGATGGGATGGCTATCAGTAATATATATATATATATGGAATCATTTCCCCCTCCAGCTTGTCCAAGTTGCAAATAACCACAGAAGATTTGGCGCCACAGTTATTCTCTCATCTCCGCCATCTCCAGGAACTTGATCTCTCTGACAATCTCTTAGAACGGCTTCCTGACAATCTCAGTTTGCCAAATCTCCGCATCCTAAATTGTAACAACAATCACTTGGAAGATGTGACAGCCTTTCAGCAGTTTCCACAGCTGGAGGAGCTCACCTATGCCAACAATGTATACCTGACAGTGAGTATATCTGGCAGCCAGTAGAAGTTCTGGTCCTTGCAATTACTTCATGGAGCACTGCTGTCCTTATACAGCTGAAAAGTTGCAGTAAGAGCAATAATTCTAATGCCTTTATGTCCCAGAGTAAAGTAAATTCTGCTTATTTTAGGGGTGTTGGACATTCTCTGGTCTCATCATCTATCCTCAGTGAACAGTATAGTTCATTTAAGATTATTTGATGCTGCAGTTATTCATCTATTTATAACAGTCTTGCCATCATGTTACAGAGTTGTAGCTCAAAATGTAAAGGAAAAATTGGGATTTAGAATAGTAATAGCACTTAGATTTATATACTGCTTTACATTTCTTTACCGCCTTCTCTAAGCAGTTTACAGAGTTAGCCTATTGCCCCCAACAATCTAGGTCCTCATTTTACCCACCTCGGAAGGATGGAAGGCTGAGTCAACCTTGAGCCTTGGTGAGATTTGAACTGCCAAATTGCAGGCAGCTGACAGTCAGCAGAAGTAGCCTGCAGTACTGCATTCAACCACAGTGCCACCATATTTGATTTCAAACATATGAAAGTATATGAATTGCCTGAAAATACGGGTCTTTAAATGCAATTTAACTCAATCTCAATCCTAATTGATTTTCAGTTGCATTTGCTCAGATGTGTTGTCTCTAAATATATGTATAGGTTAAGGGGAAAAGTTGACCTCCCACACTGCTTCCCCATTCCCTTTTAAAGTGAAAGAAGAGCAGAGTTGAAATGTCCACTTCCAGTTTTAGCTGAACTTCCTTCTAAAAATACTTTTGTGAAATATTTACTGATTTCAACGTGTAAATGAAATTAAAACAGTTTAAACAACTACATATGTTTACCATTTTACAAGAACAGTTGCTATATTATGTTCTTTAAAAAGGCTGAGAATCTTTCAGAGAAAGTTTTGAAATATCCACCACTAGCTAACCTGAGAGCCTTTGATGAGTATGCATTTAAATAGATAATATATATAAAATTTGATAGAAACAAGCTCTAACAGATTTTGGTGCATTTTGTTATTTTTCATTTTTATATATCAAATTTATTTGCTGCCCAGCTCATGGTTCAGAAGGCTTAGGATTCTGTAGAAAAAATATTTATCATTGAAACAGAAATCTGCACAGAGGAGAGTTGTTTACATCATCTCTTTTAGATTGATCCTACCTTCTTAACAATCCTAACTAACTAATTAATTCAGATTAACTGGATCATTATAAATTCTGGGTGCTGAATCTAAGATGCTCTAGGGGTCGCCAACCTTTTGGACCTCAGGGACCACCAAACTCATAATTTTAAATCCCAGGGACCTCTAACCTGTTCTGTGGGTGTGGCCTAATTTGTGGGTGTGGCTTGGTGGCCATGTGATTGGCTGGGCATGGCTTGTATGTAAATAATATAAATATAAATACTCAATTTTTTATAAAAAAAGAGCAACTTTTACCCAAAATCAGGCGGGCAGATTGAGTTGCTCACAGAATCACAGATTCATTCAGAAATCTATCTGCCAATGGCTAGCTCAGTCTGTCACATAAAATTTGCTTGCAAGCAAACTCACAAAATTAACTCACAACGCACCATGTATGTAAATATTGAATTTTTTATTTAAAAAAGAGCAACTTTTACCCAAAATCAGGCAAAGCAGGCAGGCAGATTGAGTTGCTTACAGAATCACAGATTCATTCAGAGATCTATCTATCTGCCATCGGTTAGCTCAGTCTCTCAAATTTGCTTGCCATGAGTCTGCACTGAATAATAGAACCTTCAGTCCTAAGAGAGGTTCGGCTGTGCTTAAAAGCAGAGCCGACGATCTAAAGACTAGCTAGAAAGAAAGAAATCCAACCATTTCCTGCTTCCTAGCTAATCTAAATCTCCCGGCACAGCAGAACACCTGATGGTCGGAAAAAGGAAAAATAGCAATTTAGCAGGCAAGTTTATCGGGTAAGGAGTGAGTGGGTGGGGAGGGTTCCCGCAAGCCATGTGGGCTGCGCAGCCTTGTGTTTCTGCGCAGCCTGGATTAATTGCTTTGGGGGGGTGCTCTGGAGGTGAGATTTCTCTGTGGCTCACCAAAATTTTCTCTGGCCCACCGGTTGGCAATTGCTGCTCTAGACAGCAATGGTGTTGGACTGAGTTGGACTGTAGAAGCTTACCACATGAAGATTTTGCTTTCAAGACTTCTTTTAAGACAAGACTACTCTTTTTTTCTCTAGCCCAGTGATGATTATAAGGTTATATTTCTTTTGCAAAATCTCCGTCAGTTGAATGGCAAAGACATCACCAAGCTGGCCAATCATGTGAGAGTCGTCAACAGTCGAGAGCTAACTAATAGAGTAAGTGACGAAGTATGAATAATTTCTTAGATGGTAATCAAAAGTTGTACAGCATTTTTAAAGATGTTAGAGGAAATTAATGAAGTGAAAGTGATTTCCTTTTTTTATAAATTTGAAGCTTTTTAGTTGAAAGAGTAGTATAATAGTGATTTAGATAAATATTTTGCTCATCAATTTTGCAAAATTGAACTATAGCTTTGATTTTCATATGTGTATTAGAACATTGCTAATCAGAAATATATATACAATAAATGAGCAATTTTCATTTTCTTTCCATGCCTATAAAAATCTAGAAGCATATTGAAAGCATAAGAAACATGTTGACTGCTTTTTGTGTCCCATTTTTTCTTTGGTTCTTTATGCAACTAACAACATAATTGCTTTGTGTATCAATTTAGGTATAAATTTTAACCAGTACTACATTCCACAAGTGCCTCTAAACTTATTCCTTCCTCTTTTGTATGTGAATTTATTTATTTGGAAAAATACTCTTAATTTTTCCATTAATAGGCTCCTAAAATACAATGTTTCAACATTGAAATAGCTGCCAAAGAAATATGAAATGAATTATGGATATTAAACATTTAGTTATTGTGATTGATTTAGTGATTGATTTACTTAGTGGGTCTATATGATTTTTTTTACTTGTATAGTTTTATTCTTAAGCTAACAATTGCTTTTATAATCAAAATACAATAACAATGTTTGGGAAATTTTTATAGAAACTTCGCAATACAAAAACATTATGACTGGCTGAGATTGTAAAATTGACCGCTGATGAAAAGCAAAACCTTGTCTACTCTATTTCCATTAGGAAACTACTTTGGGACTTTTTGCTGGAAAAGGATTGAAATAAAACTCTGATTTTGGATCCGATGATTAGATCTCTTTTTACAGAAACATTGTGGCATTGTTATTACTTTTGTTTCTTATGTATGTCTTACATGTTATGCTTTTATTTTTGTTTAAACTTCGAGTAAGACATTATTTTATGGTATTATATATTTATATCTGTAGTAAAGAAATTGGAAGTTAATCTTTTTCTAATGCTAATCAAACTAGGAGTCTTCTAGTCCAACCCCCTGCTCAAGCAGGAGACCCTATACCATTTCAAGTGGTTGTCCAGTCTCTTCTTAAAAACCTCCAGTGATTTTACTATTTCATAGTAAGTTTTAGTAAATCATTTTATATCTTTTTTCCTGTTAAATATTTAATTCTTTTTCATGCTTTTCTTTTTTTTCCTAACTTTTTATATTTTTTATCAGTTTTTGAAATTCAACACAGGAATATTTTTAAAAAAGGAGAACCTTTTAATAGTTAAAAGATAGGATGACAGGCATGATTAGATTAATATGGATCTAGAAAAAAACGTTTCCTGAAGTATCCATGGTTGAGATTAATAAAGTCAAGATGCTGCCTGCAACTCTAAAATTGAAAATCCACGGCATTTTAAGATGTGGAACATCCGCAATGCACATTTAGAAAAGATGGAATCTTGATTATATGGCTGTAGTGCTATCTTGATTTTTATTTTATTTTATTTTTTGTGTGCCCTGTGGATGCCTCTATTTTTTTGTTGCTACTTTAGCTGCTGGACACTTGAACAGAGTGTATTAGCTAAAAATTTCTAACATTGCATCATGGAAAGTTTTGTATAGGACCATGTATGGCTTCCCAGATAACTTCATTATATGTCTGCCTTTTTTCTAGGTCTCTGCTCATTGGGGAAAAAATTTTCAAAACCAGATGCCTAAAACATTGTCTTCTGAACAACTGAAGCCAATTAGAAAAAAGTTCATCAGGTCTGCACAAGCTCATGTAGCATATGGTCCCAGCTCACTCAGTGATTTCACACGTTGGAGGGTAAATTCAGACTATGAATTGTTTGCAGTCTTGTCACATAGATATGTAGAATTTTGGTCAGTAGATGACATTTAGAAAAAAGTAGCGCAGCAAAGCCAGAGTGTTTAACCAATATGATAGCTTTGTGAGACATAACCTTCACACATGAAATCAAGACACCACTAACTGGTGGTAAGTCAGAACAAAGCTTACAGTAGTTAGAGTTAGCATTAGTGTTAGAGTTAAGGCTTTTTTGAAGTCTACACACCTTAAAGTTGCTGAGGTTGAGAGACACTATTCTAAATTCCTTTCCTATTATAACAATTTCACAAGGCTGTATTCTCTTATTTTAGGTGAAAATGATTGCTGAGGAATTCCTCACTTCGTTGATTAATGAAGAACATAAGCCTGCTACAGAAACAGCAGCAGAATCAATAGAGGAGCAAGAGGAGGAGGAGGAGGAAGAAGAAGAGGAGGAGGAGAAAGAAGAGGAGGAGGAAGAAGAAAAAGAAGAAATTAAAAAAAATACCACGGAGGCTGACAAAAAAGTTACTGCTAAGGTCAGAACTCAAGAACTTCTTTGTTGGACCACCTCAGTCAAATTCAGAGATCTTCCATCATTAGTTCTGGATAGGAATATGTTGTCCCATGTGAAACTGCTACAGAGTTTGGGAGATTTCCTGTCCTTGAACAATTTAAACCATTTTTCCAATGCAAGCAGTACAATAAAATATCCTTTCTTTTAATGTTCCCCTTTAATAATGTTTCCATCATTTAGGAAGCAATCCCCACCAAATACAGGGAAATCTGTTTGGAAGTATTGTTTCACACATGATAAACTACTCGCTGTAAACCACATGTCTTAATGCAGTAAGTGAAGCTAATCTATATGACTTATGTCAGGAAAGGATTTTGTGCGTATTTTATCATAGAAAATTCATTCTGGAAGGAAGGTTGTAGCATTTTTTTTCCAGTGCTGTGTAAGAGATATATTTTTGCAGTTACCAAAATGGAATTTTACACCAAAATGGAATGGCTAGAGAGAAGTTCCCTGAAGGTGAGCTCCAACATGAATCTGAAAGCTCAGAAGACAAAACTTCTGGTCCCGGTGACCGACCCAAATTGGATCCATGGAATTTTATTATCTATTTATCAAATTTTAAAACCACTCATCTCCCTCGTAGAGAGACTCTGGGCATGTACAGATAAAATATCAAATTATAAAAACAGTATGTACCATGTAAAATTTAAAAAGGCAAGAGTGAATTAAAAACCTGTGAAAGTTAAAAGGCGGGGGAAGGATTTTTCAAGTACTAACCAGCCTCCCAGCTGCAGGCTCCTATGTGAGCCCTAAACTAAGCCGCTGAGCCCTTTTTTTACTCTTTTTCTGGAAGGCCAAAAGAATGGGAGGCCCTCACTTCCAGGAGGAGAAAGTTCCACAGGCTGTGGAATGGCTGAGAAGACTCTCTTCCTGGATTCCACCAGTTGGAATTCTTTAACTGACAAGTCTGCAACATACCTTTCCTGCCTGACTGGGTGGGACAGCCCAATATCATGGAACAAGAATGGTTCTAAAGATAACCTGGCCCATGCCATGTAAGGCTTGAAAGGTCATAACCAACACCTCGAACTGGAACCAGAAGTAAACTGGCACCCAGCGCAGCTTGCACAGTAAAAGTATTACATGAACCATTCTTGAATGCCTAAGATTACCTGTGAGGCTGCATTCTATATCAGCTGAAGCTTCTGGATGTCTTTCGAGGCTGGCCCCATGTACAGCATACTGCAACGGTCTAGTGGATTATGAATGGATTATTTTCCGTTAATGCCAGTAGGAAAGGTAACGGTGGATGGTGCTGTCTCGGATGTGAAGATAATACTCATCTGATTGGGGGATATTGTAGATTTAAGCAGAAGTCCAGGCAAATTTTTCTGTTGGGAAAGTTACCTTGCACAATTGAGATTACTTTGACAATAACATGTTGAACATTGCTGATCTTTATTTTTACTAGAGACCAGTAACTCCCAGCAAGAGGAAAGGGGCTCGTTCCAAAGGAAGAGCAAAGAGCAAGAGATCCCATTCTCAAAGCAGTTCCAAGGAAGAAGCATCACCCAGCCCCAAGAAGCTCAGCCGCTTGCAGGATGAGCACAATACTGAGGCCACAAAAGCCTCTCGCACACAGGCCAAGGAATCCCAGACCCCTCCGGATCCTGACGGAGCCCATCGGAATGGAGGGCGGCTTCCAAAAGCACAAAGCTACAAAAAGGTCACTCAGCAGAAAGAAGAGCACAAAGAGGAAGAGGAAGAGGATGAAAGAGATGTTTGCAGCACTCCAGTGAAGGACTTGGAATGTGAGGTAACCCATTTGCTTCCACTCTCAAGGATATATATAGCATATTAACTCTGTGAGTCACTTAGTTATATAATGATGTGGCAAAGGGCTACTTTAAAAAGGTTGACTTTAAAACATGGCTGTGTTGCGCACCTAACTAGATTTTAACTCCATCCAGAAAACCTATGTTTTGTTCTACGTATAACGGGACATTGTGTGTTCAAAGCTTTCTGCCTTCTTACAGGAAACAATTACCCTCGAACCGGTCCATTTTCTACAATGTCATAGTAAGGCCAACAACAGGGATGACTTCAAGACCCAATTATGGGCCTGTGTTTTTGAGCCACCACTAGATTGTGGGACGAGAAAAGGTGAGCATGGTCTAGTAGCTTGGGCTGTCCTAAAAGAAAAATGCCAGTCAATAAACCTGGTTACAGGAACACTAATTCTTCTTGTGAATTCTGAATTTTTATGCATATTGTTCCATAATTTTTACATGTTTACTTTTTCCAGCAACTTGCTTATTTGCATTTCAAATATGAAGGTGTATTTGTATTTCAAATACAGGAGCTGCTATTTTTCAGTACATTTATAATTCATGGTATTCCAGTAGTAAAGAAATTGCAGTTACCATGTGGTGATCAGTCTGGTGCCCACTTCTAATTTAATAAAAATGCAAAGAGACAGGACCAAATTAGGACTTAAAGTTTTTGGCAAAGGGCCTAATTCTAATGTTATATGTTAAAAGAGTATCAGGCTTGTCTGGGAAACTTTACTCTTGCAGTACAGGTAGTCTCACTTAACCACCACAATTGGTATTGCCAACTCCATCGTTGAGTCATTAAGTGAGATGTCATATGACTGCAACATGTAATGTCACTGCAAATTTCTCTATTGACCCTGCTTGTCAGAAGCTGATTGCAAAGCATGTAAAGGCAATAATGTGATCATGGGACACCATGACAGTCGTAAACACACACTTGTTACAAAAGACTTGAATCATGTGACCATGGAAATGCCGCATGGATTGTAAATGCAAGGACTGGTTGTGAAATTACTTTGTCAGCGCTCTCATAACGTCAGACAGTTACTAGCAGGGCAGTCATTAAGTGAAGCCTACCTGTATGAAGAATAAACTGGCCTACTAAATTGAGTGTAGTAATGCTGGATTCACACTTATAAAAGTACATAGGTAATAGGTATGGAATATACCCATTGTAAGTATTTGAATATCTTTCACTTCTACAGCAATTGAAAACAGGAGGCTTATGATGACAAGAGGATTACAGTCCCTGTGCTTTTATCTTTCAGACCCTGTGGTGAGCTCTTCTAGGACAGCAGCTACCTGTGGCGGAGATTCTGTTTGTTTGGTTGACTGTGAAACAGGCATTGTTTTGAAAAAGTACAAAGTGACTGGGGAGGTAAGGGAAACACAATTGCTCTCGACTTTCTGCTTTTTATTTAATGGGACATTGATCAAAAGTTTTATTAATGCAGTGATGTCCCTTAATGCACCCCATGACTTAACACTGCGGCTGTGTTGAATTCTCTTCTTCAAAATACCTGAATTCTATAACTATAAAGTTTTCTGTTGAATTGAAATTTGTCATCAGAAGAGTGGCAGGATGCTGCTAAATTATAATCAGAAAATCTTTAAAAAGCGAACGTGAGTAAACTATTATCCCTTCCCCCTTACAAATTCAGTGCAGTTTTTAACAGGTTTGTGTGTAAGTTAGAATGTTTGGACTTCCAGGGGAAAAAATAGCAAACTGAAGATATCTCCACAAAAGGTAGACTGAACGACTGCGGCAGAATGAAGAATCAGCAAGTAGACACACTCTTCATGATTCCTCTCCTGGGTGAGGAGAGGACGTGATCATCCACAAGTGCTCCAGATAGTTACTTCTTGTATAGAGACTACAAAATGGCAGTCTTTGGAGAGTTTAGAGCTCTGAGTGATGAGGGAGATAATCATTTTGCTCAAATGATGGTTGATGGCATTGAAAGGTCACTATATTCACATATTTCATTTTCTAACCACTTTCAGAAATTGCTTTTAACTGCTTCTACTATTAGGAACCTTACTTTAGATAGATAAGCCTGAAAACATTAGATGAGTTTCCTTCAATCCTTAGTGAAAGATGTTTAAACACAAGTTAAGGATTTTTAAAAAAAGTTTTTCAATAAACAGTAAAAAGGTGATTAGAAGTTTAATTTTAGAAAGTTACAAATGGAATAAGTATACAGTTATAGGATGAAGCAAAATATTTTAATGTTGGACATATTAAAAGATATTTTTGAATAATGGACTTGAGTATCTGTCTTTAGATTGCATCAAAAAGACATTATGAAGGAAGAAAGTTCTTTCTGACAAGACCAGGCTGAGTTGAAACTGAATTTCTACAAGAAATGGAAAAATATGCTACACCGAACATGCAAAATAATGCAGTTGATGTCTTAATAATTAAAAGGGATATATGTATAACAAACCAAGAGATGCCTGGATATGCAAACCTGGATAATTTTCCTGTGTTGGATTTGCAGAAGAGTCTGGTTAAAGCTTTGAAAAAAATTGTGGGGTGGGGCAAAGAAAAAAGGAAAAGAAATCAAGTTCCATTTAAAACATTATTTAAAAGGATTAAAAGACTGAAATAGCAAGGGTTTGTTTAAAAAGAGATGTGGGGAAAAGAGATTATTTGTTATACGGTATTTTAAGAGAAAATAATCTACTAAAATTGTTTATATTCTCATGACGGGAGAAATAACTACTTTATGTTCTTCTTTTCCTTTACTACATTCTTAGTTTTCTTTCTTATTGTTTTTTCTTTTCTTTTTTATGCACTTCTATTTTTTCTTTTTCTTTTTGGTTTAGTTTTTTTAAATCATTGTAAGGGCAATTTTTTCATAAAACTACTGTTAAAAAAATTGTTTGGTGCCCATGGTTGTTTATATCCAAGTCTACCCAAACTTCTAGTCTTGCATGGATTCCTCTTCACCAATACTTTTTCACCAGGAGTTTTACACTGTCACATGGACAACTCTGACAATGGTAACAAGTGATGGGAGAAAGAAAAAACACAACGTTTTGGCTGCTGCTGGGAGAAGAGGAATCGTAAAGCTAATTCATGTGACTGCCGATTACTGTTATGGAGAAATCAAGGCTCACAAGAAACCCATTGCTACTGCTTGCTTTAGTCCAACCTGTGAAACGCACCTTTTCAGTAAGACACCTTATGTTCTCCCATCACTCATTTCTTCTCAGCAGTCCACCATTTTTGAGTCAAGGCAAGAGCAGACTGCCTTGCTTGGTCTGCAAGTACAAAGAGTAATAAGCTAAATCATGTTGTCATCTTTGGAAATAGCTGCAATATTCTGGGGTTCTGAGTTTGAAGGAGGTGGGTCTTATTTTTTTAATTTGTTATTTGGAAGCCTATATTTTTATTTCATTGCATCTCTTTTTCCCCTCATCTGTCTCCCAATAGCTGCCTCCTATGACAAAAAAATATGTGCGTGGGACATTGGAATTCCAGACTGTGACTATAACTTCAAAGAAAGGTAATGATATAGGATTCCACCTTTCACATCTGCAAAGTGATGTTTGCATTAAAAGAAGAGAGTGACTAAAATGTATTTCATTTGTTAGGCAACTGATGGTACTGGAGACCATTTCCACACCTTTACGTATTGCCTTAGTACCCTCTTGCCCAGATCGGTTCTTGGTGGCTGGTTGCGAACAGGGCTGCTTTGCCTGGGATATTAGACTGGATGATAAGCCGCAGAAAAACAGGTGAGTAGAAGGTGTCTTCCTGGGGAAAATCTAATTGTGTGGCTGCTAAGAATTTATACCAATTTTATGGCATGTAATCAGCTCATGCCTCATATTGGAAAGATAAATTACAAGTAGTCCTTGAATTACAACCGTGAGCCTGGCAATTCTAGTCATAAGTTGTGACAGTCATAAAGCATGTTATCACATCAGCAAACCTGATCTCATAACTTTTTTTGTGGCAGTTGTTAAGCAAACATGGTGGCTATAAACTCATTGTAAACTCATTGTTTGCTAAGAGGCATCCCCCCCCCCCCCAGTGTTTAGTGGTTGTAATTGGGACGCTACATCTTTCATCAAAAGAAAACTATACCTCTTTTTTGCCTATTCTATATAAACAATTGGCGATTTTTTTGATAAGAGATCTCGTTGATATCAAACTGTCCTTTACAGGTAGGCAAAAATAAAAAGAGAAGTTAAAACTGAAATTATATTTTAAAATTGGAGTTGGAAAAAATAAGTAGCATTTTTTCAGAGAACTCCAAAACTGAATTTTTTTGGGGGGTGCTATTTATGCAACCCATCTGTGGCTTGGACCCTGAATGGCAAATCAGTTACAATATAACTCTGACTTGTTAGTTATGCCAAATTTAATGCTTTCTATATTCTCCTTACATGTAAAAATGATTAGCCAGCAATGCTAACATCATATAAATGTTTCCAGTTGTCTACTGTTTTTCTAACAGGGGTTGTTCAAGTCTTAGGGTATATTTTTTTCTTCATCTAAATTAATGATTTATCTAGTTAGAGACTAATGGACTGGTCCCAGTGTTCAGCCACTGAACTGTGGTCCAAATTCTGTCAAGATTAACAGTACAAACTACAGCCTATGCATTTTAAAGATGTCTATGTGTTATAAAGGTTTAAAAACAATATATTTAATATTAGAGAATTTGCTTACTGTAGGTTAAAGTTACAGTAATTGCTCAATAGATGGATTCTTTATTTTATTTTCTAACATTTCAGAGCTTTTGAAGTTGAATTTCAATTTCCAGATGATGAAGGGAATGACACCTCTTCTCACCAGGTGGATGGCCTAGCCTTTCTGAATGAAGACATTGTGGGTAAGAAATAAGCATTATGATATGTCTAAGTAAATTAGGGAAATTCATTAGAGCATCTTTTCTTTTCTTTTTTTTTGCATGATCATTTTTTACAAAGAGCCTGTCCCAGGCAAAATAGCAACACATATTCTCAAAATATCTTTTGGCTTAACATGTACATTTAGAAAACAGGGTGGAAGAGGATGAAATGGAAAAACTAAGAGATTAGTATTCCCTCAGAGCTGCTGACCTTGAGTGTAAGGTAAGAATGTTGACTCCCACATCTACATTTACAGAGTAACGATAGAGAAGGGAAATGTTACAATTCTGTGTTAATTCAGTCTGTTCTAGAAAGAATAAGGAGGCTTTGTCCAAACAAGACTTGCATGGAGTTTTTTCCAGGCTGTTCCATGCTTAGTCCAAACATAGAAAATTCTAAAGTCCCTACTATCTATTAGAACTCTTCTATCTTGATATATTTTAATTTAGAATAATAAATGATACCTGAGAGGAACCTATCATTTTACGCTATACACCAGTTTTCCATCTTTGGGAATGTCCAGGACTGTGGACATCAACTCCCAGAATTTTCATCAATCGTCATGGAATTCTGGGAGTTGATATCCATGCTCCTGAAAATTCCCAAAGTTGGAAAAGATTGCTATATGCACATTGGGCCAAATCCACTAAATTCAGTTAATTGATGTTAAAGGCATTTTACAGGATGTATTGTAAGTTATGAGCTTATAGTCATAGCTGTATTAGGGGCTTTATTTTAAGATCCCACCATAATTGCCAGAAAATAAATGTTCTGATGCCATTAATATCACACATTTTACTGAGCCTGCTGTGATAATTGCCTTAATGACAATTGCCTTCAACAGTAGCCAATATAGGAGAAATGCTGATCTAGCACTAGATCCATTGTTTAGCAAGGCTACTAGTGTTTTTTTCCCCCCTCTTCAGTTACCAAGAGTTCAAAGAGAGCATCTATAAACCTCTGGAGCTGGAGTCGCTCTTTCAAACAAGGCAAAGGTGGGCGGAGGACAGTGCAGGCTGTCATCCTGGCTGAACTGGAATGGTCTTCAACAGATCTTCCTTACCTCACTCTCAGCACATGCCCAAGTAAGTGCTGGTATCATGTCTGAATAGCCATGGATATAGTTCCGTCCACGTCTCTGGCACAAACATGTCCTCTGCCACCATCTTAGTCTATTACAGCTGCTATTGCTTATGTTGTCCCCCCAGATAAGCTTGATCAGTTGGGTTAGCAATTTGGGAATGCTATTAAGTAGTAACAGATTATCAACAATGTGTTGTATTTTATGAAATACTGCAGTTCCAGATTAATCTAGGCTTACCTTTGGGGCAGTAGATGATGTTAGCTCCCTGGTTTCAATCCTCAACGTACCAGGACTCCAGACAAGCATTGGGAGAGAGGTGGAGTAAGGATATAGTTGGTAGGAAGGATGGATGCTGATAAGTGAACTGAGAAGGAGCCCCCAGCAAGATGAGCTTCAAATGTGGAATTCAAGCCTGAACAATTTGGTGATACTTGTTTTACTTTTGCAGCAGAAGAATATGTGTTCTGTGGTGATGAGAAAGGAAGCATCTGGATGTATGACCTCAGCAACCATTTGTCAGCTCTTTGTGCCACCAAGGAAGATTGCCCAACCGAGAGAATAGGGCCTTCCCAGGTATTCAAGGATGTATAATCCAATATTGGTTGATTTGAGTTGTAATAAATGTTTTCATTTCATTTATTCGATTTTGAGGTCACTCAGTGCCAAAATGTTCTGGGTAGCTTACAGTGTATTTATTTATTGAATTTATAAATTAAATTTATAAACTTAAAAGTTTAAAGAGCACATGGGTAAGCCTCAACTTATGACAGTAGTTGTGATCAAAATTTCCATTGCTAAGCAATGCAGTCGTAAAGCATGATGGTGTTCCTTAACCATTCCTGCAGTTCTGATTTCCACCATTTACTGAATCCCATGGTTGTTAAACAAGGCAACTTCCTGCCAGGTTTTTACAACCAAGTTAGTTTGTAAGCAGGCTGGCTGGCAGGTAAGTTAGTGACTGCTAGAGGGTGAAAGGGGGTATGAGGAAAGCACATTGAGGCTTAGGGAGGCACATTGAGGCAAGGGGTGTGTGCAAATGGATAGCATAGCACAAGTGCAGAAGGGATAAGAGAGAGTGAATGGATGGAGGACATTTACCCCAGTGACCTTTGTGACCTTCTCTGTTGGCTTCCTGGTTGACTTTCTGGGGAAGCTCCTAAATGGAGATCATGATCCTAGGGCACTGCAATAAGTCATAAATGTGACCTGATTGTCAAACACAGATTATAATCATGTGTCCATAGGGATGCTGGGTGGCTGGAATTCCAAGGACCAGTTATAATCCCCATTTGTTTAGCATAACTTCAAATGATTGCTAAATGATCATTGCACACGTGCTAGCCTTGCATTAATTGAAATTTGGGTTACTCAAACAACCTGGCATCAATTTACAATTTGCACTAAAATAATATTGCATTATTTAAACTTGTACTAATTATGATCTACCTATCTTAATAGTAGGCCTTATCTCCTTAACCACCATTCCTACCATTCAGGCTTCATCAGCTGCTGGCCCTGCCATCCCAAATCAGCATCATTTATCTACAGTACAGTGTGCTGTACTTCATTTAGTTGAAAGAATGATGATCCTCTAAACATGAAAAACCTCCCCTTCGCCCTCTGAAAGAAAATTAAAACTCATTCCCTGTACAGCTTTTTCCTATGAGTTAGGTATAGAAGAAGAGGCAGAACCTGAAGTGTAGTCAAGAGACGACTCAGCCTAGAATCATTATGTCCACAAAAACTCTGTCCAACCCCCACCCCCTTTGAATTCTATTGATTCTTAGCTAACACCAATTTAGTGCTATCAGTTGAGTAGATTCCTGTACAAAGGCATGAGCAATAAATCATCTTAACTGGAACTTAACATATGGTCCTAATTCTTTGCATCTGACAGAGGGATGGGTATGAGAAGAGCTCAGCAAAGGGGTTCGTTTCAGCTTAAATCAAGAAAAAGTGTTTGTCAATCTTACTAGCTTTAAGATGTACTTACTTTAATTCCCTGAATTCCCCAGCCAATATGCTAAGATTGACAAACCTTTATATACCCATATATATAAATTTGTCAGGATTAATATAAAGACTCTTAGCTTTTGACAAACATCCATTGCAATTTTAAAGAAAGTAGCTGATCTCCTAAACATTTTATAGTGCAATAATTTTGTGAATCTCATGAGTTTCTGGATAAATTCCCTCTCTTTTCCCACATAGATTCTAAAGTGGCCGGAATTGAAGGCAAATGGCGAGTTGCTGACAGATGTCTTGGTGAACAATGTGGTCACAGATCCCACTTTTACATATCTAGTCGCGCTGACAGATGTCAACATTGCCGCAATATGGAAGAAAGTCTAGCTGGGATGACAACCCAGAAGGAGCAATCCCATTTTTTCAACCACATTTCAGTAGTGCAGTATTTGTGACTGTTCTGAGATTAATCAGGGTGGGTTAGGGATAGGGATGGGAGTTGGTGGGATGAAATTCATATATATATATATAAGAATTATATATATATCTCAAATGCAAGAAAATCAACCAAAGGTATTGGATGGAACTACATGAGGTTGTTGCCAATGCCGACATCTTTTAACTGTGACTTTGCTTTATTTGTGTCTTAAGTGTATTTGTTTTATAGGACAGTATTTAATAAAACTTGATAAAACATAATTGAAACACTTTTTAAGAAATATGTTAAATATATTTACTTAGGCCACTATCTTGAAGGATCTTGGTGAAAGCTACCTATCCCAAGTTTGCATTGTGCAGGCAGGACTGTTGAACCCACTGAAAAGAAATATTCTTAATTGTAAAGTAATGTGGACTTGTATGTATAAGGATAATTTCATTCAGGCAATTGCATAAAGATTCTCCTTTGAGCAAATTGCAAAAAGGGGGAAGCATGAGAACCTCCTTTAGTAAAAACTATTATCTCATAAGGTGCGGACATAAGTAAAATTTAATTTCCTAATTCTTCATCAGCTGACTGTTGGTGTAATTAACTTTGTCTATTTGCCTACTCTTAGGGAACAATGGCTGTTCTGCAATGAATTCCCTACTCCTTTCTGTTATATACAATTGCCTCTGGGGATACCCTGAGGCACAAAAAATATGTGCTTGAAAAAGCATATTGAGTCAACTTCAAGTGGCTACCAAGAGAGAAGGCTGAAGCATCAACTTTTTAAAAAAAAAATAGTGATGGAATATTTCATTCTTCCCACATTTGCAGAACATAATCAGTACTATAATCTAAACTGGAAAAGGGCACCTTATACTCAATGCAGCTGTTTAATTTGGATGATTAGGTGATCTTTTCTTGTGGGGAAGGGTTCTGAGAAGATACATTTCCCCTTATCCATTGCATTTTAATAAAGAATTTTCTTCCAAATTTTGCCTTCCTTCAGCAGAAAGGCAAGTGATAAGTGCAAGAATTAAATATACATAAAATAAAATTGAGCCAGAACTAGAATAAAAAACCTAAGCCTCATTCAATCCAGAGAGCATAAAGTGTGAATCTCTGGTACTGCATGTAGTAGAGAATGCTACATTTTAAAAAATGTTCAGCAAACTACATGAAAGAGGCAAGTAGAATACTTGCACTTAAGACAATATAGGATTTAATTCAAGAGACAGTTACTTCTCTACCAATACTGAAATGGAAAACTACCCCACCCCCTAGTTAAAATTTCAATCAGATATTGTACATAGACATACAGTTGGCCTGCATAATTTAAAAAGAGCAATATCTTAACAGTAAAGCAAATAAGAATTATATCAAGGCACATCTTGAGAAAGCAGAGTAAAAACTGCCTGAAAGAAAATCAAGAGGTATTTCTAATTGAAATGGAAAGCACACGGTATATTGTCAGTTTTAAATCAGGAGGGAATTTCAACAACTATTTTACTATGTTTTTGCTGAAGGTATGAATCACTTCAAAAGAGCAACAATTAAGAAGTATAATTTATTAGCCATCATAAGCCAACTTGAACTTTCATGTAAATGACCTATATTGAAATTTCTTAGATGTTATGTAGCAAAGTAATCATAAATACATTTCTTGTAGACTACTACATTGAAAAATGAATTTTATTTACAAATATATTTGATAAACATTACTACTACTCAATTCCTTCTTGTTTGTCTTTGATGGCAACCTAAGAGAAAAATAAACACATGGTAACTGGAAAATAAAAATAAATAAATAAAATAAAAATCTTGACAATTTCATTTAAGATCTGATTATAAAAGTATTAAGGAAAGTTTCCCTTGTTGCAGAAAAGAGCTGCCATTATTCCAAATCTATCTGAACTTCAAAATGCATGAGCTAAGCCTAACCAGACAAAATGTATTTATTTATAGCCCACCTTTCCTATTTTTACAAATAACTGAAGCCATTTAATTATCCATCATCATTAATGGCACATTGGTGAAATTATCAAAGAAGATGCAACATTTTACTTGTGATTTTTCTCATCCTTCGCAGAAAACCAAGCCATCTGAAAAGTCAACACAGCTGTTTAAAATGCCAACTCTTTCTCTGTCCCTAATTATTCATGGCAAACTCCATTACTACCAGAAACACAATTAGATGGAAATGTCACAAAGGACATTCTTAGTTAGGGCAACAAGGATACAAAACTCCCTGCCACATTGGTTTCTGATGATGTTTGACATCTATGTGACTTTATTGCCCAGAACTCACATATTGGAGGTAGGAATAGATGATGGTTTGTGGAGCCTATTCAGATCAAAAAGTATTAACAGGCAATTTTCTTGATGTCTTATTGTCTAACACCTACATACTTGAATGTCTTATGGGTGATAACTCCCAGATTCTGCTTCCCTGGAAGGCTTAACCTGCCTCAATCTCAAGTTTCAATTTTCAGCACCAAAATCCATCTCGCTATAAGGCATAATTCAAGGCCCCAATGAAACTTTTAAGTATTTAACAGAGCTGAAATATCTCACCTAATTCACAGACATAGCTTTAGGTTTCATCATTCTGCCTTTGGCAAGAAGCCCTCAGCCCCCCAAATCATGTGATTGTTAGGATCTGCTGACTTACCCGGAATCTTTCCTCAAGAAGAGAAAGCTCACTGATGAGATCTGTGATTGCATTGGTAAAAGCTTCTTGAGGGCTGTAATCGGGGGTTGTCTGAACACGAATTATTATTTTATGTTCAAGGGGATGGGGGACTTTGTATCCTGCAAATAACACTTGAGGGTCTTTCAACAATTGCCTGAGGAAAAACAGACAAAATTTTATTGTTAAAGTTATAACTGATGCTGGATGACTAAGGGCCAATTAGTCTCAAGGTTCATTTCCAAGACAGCTTTGGAAGCATACAATAACAATGCAAAGAATATGTTTCTTGTTTCTCATTTTTAACAAATAGAAAAGAAAGTTTGTTTTGATAATTAGGACCATTCTTCTCTTTTCTACACATTACATACACTGTGTGCATATTTGCACTGACTGTTGAAGCCAAAATAACGCTATCGATTAGAAAAAGAACCCACTAGTATTGAAAGATCCCAATAATTTACAAGGTTCTACAAAATTTAAAGGGGGAAAAATCAATTAGAAAAAAAAACTAATCAATAAGATTATATTGAGTGTGATGATTAAAACATGAAAAGTTTTAGCATATTGCGGAATAGAATTCTGGAAAATAAATTAAGCTAATTATATAAATATGTATGTCCTTCATCACTGTTGTAGATTAAATTACACCACCTCTCCACATGGTCTATATATTCTGGGGTTTTACAAGTAACATTTGGTAGAGATATTGAAAACCTCACTATTTTTTCTGCATTTCTTGACAGTTGATCAATTTAATTGCATTCTTAATTCATCAATTTTGTAAGAATAAGAATCACTGCTACTCACGACTTGATTATATTCCCAAGAGTGTGATCTTCTTTGTTGATTGTAAACAGACAAGCATTTGGCACTTTTGTATCTTTATTTATTGTAATCCTTCAATGAGACAGACGGGGAAAAGGGGGTCATATTAACACCAGCTTGTGCAGTCTTCTCTTATACATAATCATGCAACAATGTTACAACTGTTTTATGTAAACCTAGATTATGTTAATCCATCCTAAATAGTTCATGCTAACAGATCAAAACTTTCAAGGATTCTGACAGGAACTTTTGAAAACCTGTAATAGACAAGTTTTACTTTCTCAGGCCAGGCGAAGAATGACTGGGAGGGGAGGGCGAGGGGTGGGGCCAGCCAGTGGTAAGATCACCCAACGGAGCCACAGCAGAGGGCCCAAAGAGCCGCATGCAGCTCCAGAGCCAGTGGTTACTGACACCCACCTCAGAGGAAATAAATCTACAAGTTTATTTGGGGACAAACAAAATCCAGCAAGTCCTAAAACCTGGTGAAAATCAATTAGCATATATGAAACCATAATATGCAAATGATAAACCAAAACACACAACAGATACCTTTACAATATTTGAATAGCCCTGCCAAATAGATAACAGGAGGAAATCAGAAAAAAATGCAAAATATGCATTCAGAAATCAAGAAACTGAGGGCCACAAAACTATAAGTTGGGTTTTGTTGTACTGTATTTTCTTTTACATTTGATCATAACCTGTAATGTACAATGGATGTTTTGTGCCTTAGCAACCAAATTTATGTAACTTTCTAACAGGTGGAAGTAACAAAAAGATATTCAGCTTTATGAACTATTTCAACTGACTGTAACTGTATCGTTTTACAACAGACTCAAAAAGACACTACATCTTTTCCCATGCTAACTTTTCCCCCTACTTTTAAAACCATGCTCATTCAAGTGTCATCCTTAGTATTATGGGATGTTTAGCAAACTATCCATCTTTCTGATCCAATTGGATAGGATGGTTTTTTTCTATCCACACAACTCTTCTTTTGTATTTCTTTCTGCTGTACTAAGTATAAAAGGTATTCCAAGGATTTGCCCCAGGTTCCTCCTGGTCTCTTATTTCAGAGAAACCCCCTCCCCTTGTCAGAGTACTCTAATAAATTGTATTAAATGATTTTTCAGACTCAATTGCTTATTAGAGAAGAATGTGCTGAGGCAGAATCTGCAGCCCATTTGGCTATCAAAGCTAATGGATGAAATAAACATGAAGGAATGAAATAAATATGGAAAATATTTACACATACAAATTTCCAAGAGGCAATATACCAGTATACGGAATCAGAGTTGGAAGGGATGTTGGAGGTCATCTAGTTCAACCCCCTTCTCAGGCAGGAAACCCTATTCCAGGGGTTCAACTCTCTGGGAGTTGAAGTCCACAAGTCTTTAAGTTGCCGAGTTTGGACACCTCTGCCCTATACCATGCAAATCTCTTGGGATTTGCATATGTATTTCCAAAGCCCAGTACGTCTATCTAGGTGCCAGCATATTGCTAAGTTTATCTACTCACAAAAAAATGGGGTTGGACCTGATTAGGATTTGGACGAGATATATTTTAGGGTTGCTGATTAGTCTGGTAAGTAAAAGGAAATAAACATCCAGGAAGTATCCAATGACAAAACATCTGCATTGTTTGTAAAACATTATACAGATGCACTCATGAAATCAACAGATGATGAGATCAATTGAGACCTTTTTCTAAAATTGTGCAGGTTTCGCAGGCATTGATTTTTCAAGATCTTGATGAATTTAACTTGAGGAGGGTGGGGAGTAATGGTCGGAGAGAAAGATTCTGGCCAAAACCCCGGCCCTATTTTTTGGCTAGATTTCTACCCCTTTTAAGGGGTACGCAAGTTGATGAGAGCCGCCTTTAAGTTTCTTAAATCAGGGGTCCCCAAACTTGGCAACTTTAAGACTTGTGGACTTCAACTCCCAGAATTGCTATGCTGGCTGGAGAATTCTGGGAATTGAAGTCCACAAGTCTTAAAGTTGCCAAGTTTGGAGACCTCCGCCTTAAATGAATGAAGAAAATCTTCCTTTCAGGAGTTCATGGCATCACGAATAGCCCTCCCGCCCCATTTGCTCTACCCATTCCCATCTCCCCCCTATGAAGGAGTGTGAGATACAGGGGCTAGCACAGACCTCCCCCCCACCCCCGCCCTCCTAACCCTTAGGGACGATTTTGGCTGCCTCCCCGCGACCGTTTTCCCTCTCCCACTGACTTTTTCTCCCCTTCGAAGAGTAAAAAGGACTCGAAGGCCGGAGGGGCGTTCATTCTCCCCACTGGTTTCTCGCAGACGTTTGAGAAATATACTTCCGGGGTCAAATTTCTACGACTCCTTCCGGGTTCAGGTTCCTTCTGCCAATATGGCGACCGTGCATCACCCAGCGGCAAGGAGGACGAAATGCTCCTTCGGGTCTCCAGCAGCAATTTGCCTTTTTCCTCCCCAGAGGCTACGCTTTGGCCCCCCCAATGGACGTTTGGGAGCCTCTTTGGGGCAGAGTAGTGCTGAAGGCACCAGGATAAAACCGGGGGACGGTGAATTCGAATCCTACTGTAGGCACGAAGCCCGTGGGATGCCCTTGGGCCAGTCTTAACCCTCTCAGCCCTAGGAAGGAAGCAATGGCAAACTGTAGTTGAAATCCTGCTAATAAAACTATGCCTTGGCAGTGTTCTCCAAAAGAATACTATAAAGTAAGGGAAGGAAGAGCATCTCGTGCTATGGGAGGGTTGATCGATTAACATAGTTGGAAGGGACCTTGTAGGCCATCTAGTCCAACCCTCACGCAGGAGACCCTACACCACTTCTGACAAATGGCAATCTCTTTTTGAAAGGCTCCAGTGATGAAGCTGCTACAGCTTCTGAAGGCAAGCTGTTCCATTGGTTGTTTCCCCTTATTTCTAGGTTGAATCTCTCCTTGATCAGTTTCCATCCATTGTTCTTTGTCTGCCTTGGAAAATAGCCCCTTCCTCTCTGTGGCAGCCCCTCAAATATTGGAAGACCTCTATCATATCTCCCCTGGTCCTTCTTTTCACTAGACTAGCCAAGCTCAGTTCCTGCAACTGTTCTTCATGTTTTAGCCTCTAGTCCCCTAATCATCTTTGTTGCTCTTCTCTTTCTAGAGTTTCAACATGACAATAGGATTTAGTGCTGGGTTGCTAGTTTTCCTCACACGGCAGCTATTTTTGTGAATAGTCCAGCAGACATTTTGCAGATGCTCAAAACATGTTTTTAAAATTCGAAAAGTGCCTATCAGCCTCAAAGGTTGGTGACTCCTGAGCATTTACCCTGAGGTAGCCAGCAGCTTTCACAACACTGCATTAGTAAAATGACCACATGTACAAGGTGATATTATCATCGTAGTACCCTTATGACTTGTATCCCAAAGTATGACATCAATCAGTTGTCACATTTGTGTGAGGCCATCACATAGATTTTGTCATTTGCAATCCCACCCGCTCCTCTCCATGCAAATATTTGGCAAACTTGGTATGGTTGGTTCTCATGGGTTATGTTTGGTGGTTTTGCCTGCACTTTGTATGGACAAGTATAATGAAATATGTAGCTATTCATTTAATTAGAGGAGCTGTTGTATTATTATCTCTGTACTGAAATGAAGTTGGAGGCCATCTTTGTTATATAATTTGTTTGATGTAGGCTTTTTTGCCATTTTTAACATGTCCTGTTATACCCCTCCCCTTTTCGCTTTATTTTAGCTTGTATTTTAATGTTTGGTTTTGAAACTTAATAAAGATACGTGTTTTTTTTAAAGAGAAAACAATAGCTGAGTTCTTATTGTCTCTATTCTTGTCTCCTTGAGCTATGAGGAAAAAAGCATACAGGTTTTATCACCTTATTTTTAATCACAAAATTTCCTCTCAATTTACACGCCAATCTGATGTTCTTCAAAGGGAGCAACTGAAAAATGTCAGACATTGATGGAATCCTTTATTTGTTAAAAGAAAAGCTTTATTGTACATTCAATATTTTTTGGGGGGGGATGTCTTGAAGGGACAGAAGATCAAGGATAAAAAGTTGTGAAGCAATTCTTCTTTCCTCTTACTTATATTAAGATCCACACCTTCATTTGTCTTATTGGATGACCCCTAGCTCTCCCCTTGCAAAAAAAAAAAAACACAGGCGCACTGTTTTCTCTCTCACACACATACCTGGCTCAGATCTTGCAGTTCTGGATTTTGTATAGCCTTTGACCACTTTGCTGCAATTTTACAGTGCTCCCAAAAATTCAAATCTCACCCTGTTCTAATTCAGTGCAGCTCTTCTATGCATCAGATCTCAGAATCTGGAAAATGTTGCTTCTTCAAGAAATCCATTGCTAGTGAAAAAGTTCTATGTAAGATGGGAAATGGGACTTGCTACTTCACAAGATTCAGGCTGCTTGCTAATGCAACACCGTGTGTTTTTAGAACTACGTAAGGAAAGGTCAGAAGGAAAAAAAGATGGAAGAATGAAAGGTACAGAAACTTTACCCTAAGAACCCCCCCAAAAGAGTAACTGCACTGTTGTTATGTATTATCAAAAGCATCATGAGATAGAGAAACCCCAAGGAATTGTCCAATTCTTGTGGATGAACAGAGATAAAAGAGCCAGTTTTAATGATCCAGAGAAACTAGAGGCCAAACAACTATAGGAGAGATCCCAAAAGAGAGGTCAGGACCTTCCAAGCACAGAGACAGCCCCTCCCATTCCATCTCAGCAGACAAAATTAACTCCAGAGTGTGTAGTTGCCATTCTGGGGATGGAGCAACCATTCTACTTAAAACAGAGCAAAGGTGGAGCTTGCCCTCAAATAATATATATATATATTTTGTGGGAGTCACGTCTGCAGTTCCACCAAGTGATTCTGATTCTGCTGGGCCATGTCAGTGGAGTGCGAAACCTCCTTTTGATATATTTCTTCTAAATCGTGTAGTATCTGGAAAAGCCTGAAAGGGCGATCAGCATTTTCAGGATCTGTAGCAAGAGAGGTGGAGAAGAAGAGAGGGTAAGTGAGCTAGAAAGAGATCTCCAAACCCTCTAATCATTTGATATCACTGTTGACTGTTTCCTAGTATGATTTGATTGCTTATTGCACCCTATGACTATTCATCATAGGTATAATACATTCGTCAGGAATCATAAGATACAACACTTAATGATTCTTGACTCTTGACTCATGTATCTTTTCTTTTATGTACACTGAGAGCATTTGCACCAAGATAAATTCCTTGTGTATCCAACCACACCTGGCCAATAAAGAATTCTATCTATATCCTAAAAGAGGACAGCTTTGATATGTAAAACAACCTTTTTTCTATCAAGGACTATGTTTTCTTAGAGCTAATCTTCTGGAGCAGCATTACAGGTGAAGCTGAAGAAAACAACGGAGTAGGGAAGCTAGAAGTGGATAGGGACACACATTCTCTCACTGATGTCTTGCAAAGGTATGTGGGAAAGACCTTGAGAGAAGGAGCAAAGAGATGCTGTCTTGGGGAGGTCCAATAAGAGACAGTTTATATTAGCCAGGAGTGGGATTCTCCTGGTTTGGACAGGGTGAACCCCTTGTTCCAATGATCAGCTGGCTCCAAACTGGTTCGCTCTAACGAGCATGTGGACGCACCCACCCACCCCTGCTCTTTCCTGTGCTTTATGTCTTTTTGTTAGAGCACAGCTGATTCGTACAGCAGAGCAGTTTGCCATGCCTCAGCTGTTTTCTTCAGCTGCAGTTGAAGGCAAGTATTAGCTTTTTTAAATGAGGAGCACGTGCATGCGCAAAGCACACACTCACTGAACTGGTGATTATATTGGTTGAATCGCACCCCTGATATTAGTGGGCAGGGCAAGAGGCTCACAAGAGACGCCTCTCAAGATGTACAGGAGATGGGGAAGAATTGTACTTGCAAGATTCTGTTAATGTATCTTTATAATAAAGTAGAATTACCTCATCTGGTCATGTTTTTATGTCTGATCTACCTGGTAGGACTGACACCAATCTTTCAATTCACTCTACATATTTATAAGCTATGATATCTATAAATCCATGTCATGATACAGTTCAGGGGACTTCCAACCTGACAGCTTTAAGACTTGTAGACTTCAACTCCTAGAATTCCTGAGCTAACATGACTGAAGGAGGAATTCTGGGAGTTGAAGTCCACAAAGCTTAAACTTGCCAAGTTTGAAGACCCTTGATATAGACACTAATATATAAATGTTTTCGTAGATTTTCACGGGTACAAGTATGTAGGTCTAGGTGTGTTTGGGTCTTTTCCTGTGTAAAATTAAGAGTATCTTGGCGACGTTTCGGCGAGGTCCCACTAATATATAAATATGTATACCTCTTCAACTCTGTTAAAGGTGTTGTGTGGGCCCTGACCATTATGAACAAAATCAACCTCAACCCAGCCTTTCCATTTCAACCATTTATTATTATTATGGCTTGTCGGACAATCAGCAGGATGTTTAGACTGGACTTGGCATTTTTACCCACCTATGTTATTATTAGTTAAATGTACTAGCTGCCCAACTGCCTAACAATGGATTCTGGCATTAAATTAAATAATAAATTTAAATTAAATAATTAAATTGTATACCTTCACTCTGATGTTTTTCATTTTTTTCCAGAACTGACAGTTCCTCATACTTTTCCCTTTGGACAGTAAAAAAAATAGAATAAAATGAAAGTTAATAAATTATACAACAAATTTCACATAGGGATGCATTTTGTGAATAGCACTACAAGAAAAGGAACATTATACAATAATCACTTCAAAACTTCAATAATTTTTCAGGTTTAAGAGATTGTGGCTGGGTGGGGAATTCTGGGGAGTTAAGGTCTTAAACTTGCTAAGTCTGAAAAACACTGCTTTGAGCATTTAATTTTTATCATCTTTAAATGTTTTTATCAGGTGGTTTTATCCACTTTAGGATTGCTTTTTCTGAAAAATAGACATGTTGCTTTCCTATTCATCAGTGTAGTCATATAGAGGATCTCTTCCCAACATTTCTATCCTAATTCCTTTAACTGCTTTCTTTTTCTTTATAAATCTTCATTGTAAAACACTTCCACCCTCGGCTGCATGAAGTCATGACCTCAATTCAGAGATGGTATTCAGCAGGTTCTGACCAGTTCTGGAGAACCGGTAGCAGAAATTTTGAGTAGTTCAGAGAACCGGCAAATACCACCTCTGACTGGAGATTTTACAACATCCTTCCCCTGCCACACCCACCAAGACACGCCCGCAGAACCAGTAGTAAAAAAAATTGAATCCCACCACTGCCTCACTTCCCTAAATAGAATAGAATAGAATACCTTTATTGTCATT